TGTGCAAACTCGAGAACTCGTTTGCGGCAGGAATTTTCGTTTTTCGCAAATGTTTATCGGGTTTGTAATTATGCTAGGATCACGGTAATATAAAGTGTGCCAAGATTAATCTTTATTTGAGGCACGACCCGGCATTTTTCTCTGAACAGTTACCCCATTGTTCAAGAATGCAGCAACTAGTAATATTACGAGTACCGTAGACTACCGCAAATCCACCCATCCCACACTAAGCGCCCATTTCCAAATTTGTAAGATCTTAGAAAATATGCACAGTACAATTATATGTAAAACTGATGACTGGACAAGCGCCCATCCCCCATTTTTTTCGTGATTATCTTCAAATTTTGAGTGGGCTCTTGCCTGGTATTTTACTCTAAGCAAGGTTTCCACATTCTTTATCAAAAAATTTATTTAGCCAGAAAACGGGAGACAAACTTTCGCAGGCACAGATTCATCTATTATCATAGTCTGAAAACGGCTGGACATTGTGAAGTTTTCTGTTTCGATGACCACAAAAAAGGCACAAGCTTCGAAAACAAATTTTTACAAGGCGTGCACCACAAAACAAGAACCTTGCCAGTCTTCATTTCGATATAAATAAATATTGTTTGCGCATTTTGTTTAAAAAAATGTACTTGGCCTTTTAAACAGAAGCCGTTTTAAGAGATATTGCACGAGGATACAATTTAATTTCTTTATGTTATGCAGCATTTGAAAGTGCAATTAAAAGAAAAAAGATTTTAAAAAACATTTACCTTAACCTTAGGGACGAAGTCGAGAGAAAGAATGCAGATAGCCTTGACCTGCACTGGCTGTCTATTTAAAGAGCTTTTCCGAGCTCGGGAGTCGCACCGAATTACACTAAATCGAAGAAAATTTAGCACAAAAATTCAGCTAAATTTCTGCATTCTGCTTAATTTAACAAGTCCCCCTTTTTCATTACTCTGTTGCATCACACTCTTGGGTCACAATTTCTGGGGATGTTCTTGTTTATGAAACCAAATCCCTAAACCAGTGGTTCCCAAGCATGGATGTGTCGGGGACCCTTGGGAGACACGCGAGGGTGATGGGGGACCCCATGCCAGCGGTGAAAGGGGAATGGGGATGGGATAAAGTAAGACAAGTAAATTGCAGTGTGAAGAGTGGATTTTTTACTGTTATAGACAGGAGAAGTTAGGGGCATTAAGTAAAAGGATGAATGGATGGATAGATTGTAACGGCTGTGCCCTTTGTAGCGGGCGGTAGCTGGCGCCACCTTGCCAGGCTCAACAAAGAACAATCATGTTTTACAGCGAACCTGTTATGTGCTAGGATATGGAAGAAAATGTGTCCATGGATGTTAGCAAAAAAAAACTCCCAATTAAACGGCGCTCCTTCATTCCGATTGGTCGTGAGAAGTATAAATAAAATGACCGCATCTCCACGTGGTGAATGATGTTGATTGGGGCGAAGCTTTGGCGGTGCTTGTCTGCGTAGACGCTGAGCCGCAGCATGCCGAGCCTTTCGTTCGTTTTCATCCACGTCAGAAAGAGAATGTGTAATGTGGAACGTGGTTATATACGCATTTGAGCATTTGACCGCAGGGCCCTCTCGTCTATAAACGTTGAGCCAATGCATGCAAAGTTTAACGCGATTATATATGCATTTGACCGCAGCGCCCTCTCCTGTATAGACGCTGAGCAGCTACATGCAACGCTTCATCCATGACATCTCCAGCTCTTGAGTTACTACCACATCTCAGAGCCCCCTACACGTCCCGCAGTCGTGGCCGAGTGGTTAAGGCGATAGACTAGAACTCCCTTGGGGTCTCCCCGCACAGATTCAAATCCTGTCAACTGCGCAAAATTTTTTTTTTTTTGCCCTACACGAGCACGTGAGCGTGTGAGCTCATGAGCACGATCACGAGCACAAGCACCAGCAAGATCGATGTGAGCACGGATGCCGGACGGACAAGGCCAGACCCTAAGGAGTTTCGCCCCTAAAAAAAGGGGCAACCCGCGTCAGTCAGTCTTCCTTGGCATTATTAGTGAGGTCCTGATTCCATGTTATCATCTAGGGTCACAGACTTATCTCAGCTGAGAGTGCGCTGTGAGGAGGCTGAGGGCAGAACACGCTGATATAACCTTCTTTCGCTTCCGCAATGCTGATAAAAGAGACTTGGGCTCTTTATCAGCAGCATCGCTGATAAAGAGCCCAAGTGGCTGTAAAACAGAATAGTCGTATACCAACATGTATAGGTATACCAATGACCAACAGCAGAACGTGCATCGACCTCACATTTAGCAAGAAGGTATCCAAAGTCAAAATACAACCAATGGCGGTTTACCATAGTGACCATAAGGCAATGATTACGTTAGTCACTAAGAATTAAATAAAGACAATTAAACAATGAAGTCATGTACGTGCCTTGATTGCAATCATATGTAAATCGTATCAATGTCAAAAAGTTGTCGTAAAGATAACAGCTTCGGCTGGTCCTCCATCTTCACGTGAAGTGGATAGGCTCTACAAGTTTTTTTTCAAGAAAAGGGAGAGGGGGTTGAGAGTTGAGGCGAGGGATTCGTGGACCCCAAAAATGACTTCGTGGATTTTGGTGGGTTTGTGGAACCCCATTTGAGAACCACTGCCCTAAACCAATTCTGCTAAAGTCAAATATGGGGGTTTTACGTGTTGAACCAACGAAGGGCATCTGGCACACCCTGGGGGATTAGTTTCAACTACCTGGGCCCGTTTTCTCGAACACGAACCGTGGGTTAAAGTTAACTATTGTCCCTAGAAGGGGGAATTCTAGGTCACGTGACTGGGAGAGCAGGGGCGCCGAGGGAGGAGCAGTACCTACAAGCAAAATGGCCGCGACGTCGCTTAATGAGGGCTCATAGTTCTTGGTTCTGCTGAACATTCATTTCGATCCAGCTGTTATATTAATGACGCACCATCAACCTATTAGCACGTCAAGCAAAGCTGTAGTTCAGAGGGACTACTAAACTAACCGATGGCAGCATTCCGCAAACACATCACTCTTCAGCAGTCCGGGATCCAAGACATATGACGGTACACAAGCCTTGCAAGTGTTTTTATAATGAGTAAAAAAATGTTTTGCGAATGAGTGTTGATATATATTTGTACTAACACGTTTAATTTGTTACACTATGCACGCCAACTCGTGAGCAGCGATTACTTTGCGGAGAAAGGGGGTTATCTTCGATAAAGTCTTTGTTCCGGGTGAACAACTGGGACATTGTACTGTTTTTCTGTTCGCAGTGCGCCGACAGTATGCCGACAGCATCGAGGTTTCTATATATCCCTGGTGGCCAGCAATTCAACGGTGATGAGAAGCTTAGCTTCTCGTCACCGGTGGATCGGTTGGGCAAACAGAAGAGAGGGCAAACAGTTGAGATCGGCAGGAATCGCAGAAACGTGCGTCGCAAGGAACAAAAACGAGACTACAGCATCGGCGTTGCCAGACTGGAACGCACACGGGAATGTTATGCGTTGTTTATGGCGAAACATATTGAAAGAAATGTTTCTTACATTTTCGAATATTCGTCGACAAACTCTAGCATAGTAGCTAAAATTTCTTCGTACCATCTGAAGCAAATAAATTGGTCTTCAGGTACAACATTACTATATTTTGACTTAAAATACCATACTAGATCGATAACAACCAGCGGAAAAAAACGATAAACAAAATGACTGGCTTGTTTCACCGATAGATGGCGAATCTTACTGCCCAATCAAAAATAATTATTGTTGTTCTATATCCAGCCGTTTATTACAGTACCTAGGTACTTTTTCCTTCCTAGGCACCGTGGTTTACCAAGATGGGTTTACCATCGCTTCGAGAAAACCGGCCCTGGGGGATCTCTTGACGTGCAACCGAAATCTCGGTGGAACGGTGCCTTCTCCACAATGGGCCTCCGTCCGATCGTGGGCACCTCAGATGGGATTCGAGCCCGCTACCCGGGGATCAGTAGGCAGGCGCTCTGCCTCAAAGTCACCGAGGCGGCACAATAAACAGATTCCGTGTAAAAATAAAATTTTAAGTTAACTTCTAGGATGCCTACTTTTTTTTTTACACCAAAAGTCCACAAGCTTGCCCCTCCGTCTTGTAGCATCTCTTCCTCTGAGGCCACACCTCTCAATGAAAGAGCAGACACCAGACGGCTGTTTGCATCGTCAGCGGAACACGCGTTCTCAGGCCGGGTTCCTACCACCCAGGAGTTCCCCTTAGCACCCTCGTGCATTTCCAGAGCTCCCAGATTTCCATCCCTAACCTAAGCAAAGCGTTCTCCAGGTTTAAGACCTATCTGAGAAGTCCTCAGCCGCTCATTGATGCATAACTATCAGACAAACATCCCCAGTATGTGTGTACTAGGTCCGCAAGCCGCCGCACTGCTTCAATGAATCAATACCGACGCCAGAAGGGGTTTCTTGACTGCCATTCGAAGCTATGAAAGCTATGAAGATATGAAAGCCATGCTGGGATGGGAAACACTCGAATGTAGGCGAAAAAAACTAAGACTAAAATTTTTCCACCGTGTCTTTCACAACAAAACAGGAATTGATAAAGCCACTTATCTTATGGAGCCATCCTACGTTTCTACCCGTTGTGATAATTCTAAAAAGGTTGCTGTTCCCACTTACAGGACTGACAGTTTTGCGAATTCATTTTTTGTCAAAACCGCGAGAGAGTGGAACGATCTCCCGGAAGATGTTGTGTCCATTGATGATAATGACGTTTTCTTTTTCCACTTGTTATAATGTTTTCTAAAACCCCCCTACAATAATGCCCACAGGGCGATGTAGGTACAATGTAAATAAAATAAAATAAATAATAGGGTTTCCTCGAGATCAAACAGTTTGAGAACCCCCCACCGGAGGAAACCAGACTTATTCCGCTAAACTTTGGCACACGGTCGGCCGAGAAAAACCAGCCCCTGACCGAAATTCAGTTGCACCACTTGGAGACCTCCTGCGGAAGGAAATCCCACGGCACTCACTTCTGTTCCAGCTGGTGTAGCCTCTCTTGCTCCTGCCTGGCAAGCTCTTCCTCTAGCCTCTGCCGCTCTCTCTCCTCTTCCTCCTCCTTTCTCCTCTCCTCCTCTTCCTCCAGCCTGGAACAACATGTGCAGTGAAGGCCAAGCAAATGAAACGCCCAACTTCCCTGAACCGAAACGCGTTGGCCGCGCATTTGGAAAGCCGGCGTTCGCAACAGCATTTGCTGCACTGTGGGGCCTGGAACGCATCTTTGACCGGCGTGTTCACCACGGTACTCATTGTTTCTGGCTGACAGCCAGTGCCCCCTGTTGTGTGCTTTCGTTTTTGACGGCTACCAGTCGGACCTGGCACAGAGCAGGGCACGCGGCGAACAAAAAGGACTTTGCAGGTGTCAGCGACGGCAGCAACCGTATTTCATATCTGTATTATCTGTATGTTTAAAATAAACAGACCTATCACACCGCGTCCTCAAAAGCAGCCCTCAATTTCCGCTCGACGAACTCGCAGAACTGCCACGATGTTGTCTGCAGCGATCCTGGTGGTGTCACTGCAGTTGCGGCGAATGTGGCGGACGCCCGCTCTGCCGTGAGTCGCTCTCCGGCTTCACAGTCTGCAAAAGCTTTGGCAGCCTGGAGTTGGGACTCAGCGACGACGGCGATGCTTACATTCGCTTGCTTTCTCTGCCCACATTCCTACAACAGACCACCGGGATTGTGATATTCGACATCCCGACACTCCGGCTCCTGCGACGCCATTTTGTTGCCACTTCGGAGCCACTTTCGACGCGTGGGCACTTCGGGCCAGTAAACACGCCAGTCTGAGAAGCGTTCCAGGCACCATAGCCGTGCGAAACTGTTAGTGCAAACGCGACGTAGAAGTGGTTTTGCAATTTACATTTATAGTGTATTTCTATATTGATTGATTATTATATTTGCAACACCTTGTGAGTGTTCTTAAAGGGAGAGGGTCTCTAAGAATCTTGTCAGGTAAAAATACAGGTGGCAACACATTCCGACCAAGCCTATGTTCCATTCAAACGCTATTTGAAGAAAAAGCGATTCACGACAGTAGGGTTGCTACTTCGAATGGATGGTCCACTTTTTCTAACAGATAACATGAACATTGAATGCAATTTCCTCTAGTGAAACAAGTGTGTTACCGTCAGAGAAGCAATAAAAACAGATTAAGACGGTAGCTTTATAGGGTTAACCGACCTCAGGAACCACATAAGCATGAAATGTGTGGGTCGGTCAGTCCGTAACCACTAAGTGACTTGGAAAAAAACGTCAAATGGTGCCAGGGATCGAACCCCGGCCACCGGCGTGGAAGCCGAGTGCACCGCTGACTGAGCTACGGACCCGACAGGAACGGTAGGAGCAGAAGCAGGTGGTGTGAGGAGGCGTGCAGAGCGGAGACGGGTGGAAAGGGCAAGAAAGAGAGGAGCAGAGTCCGGTGGTGTAGAAAAAGCGTGCGGAATGAGGAGTGGAAAGGGCAGGAAAGCACGCTTTCCCTCTCTTGGTGACCCAGAAAATAAGGGTCATGCTGTTTTAGACACAACTTGTACTAAGAGCACCACCCATCCTATAGAGCCGCCGCATTTAAATGCTATTAGCAGAATGACCAAACATGCAGTAAATATTTTTTTTATTATTTTTGAGTTCCTCCTGCAGGACAGCAATTTTCATTGCAACTGTGATTTCATATTTTTGACTCTCGGTTTGAAGATGTAATTTTCAGCATAATTGTGGCACAGCAAATTTTCACTCATTGTCAATTTATCAAAAAGTCATTTAGTTGTCGGGTCTCAGACTATCCATGCATATTAAAAAAAATTGACCGAGACGAAGGAATACAGAAAGTTTTCCGAGCTCACCTCTTCCGCTCTTTCTCCTCCATATCCGCCTTGTGGGCCTCGACAAACGGCCGAAACAGCGGACACCTTAGGTTTAGCAGTTCGATGAACTTCTCCATGGCAGTCTTCCGGTCAACATCCCCAAGTGCCGTCCACGCTTGCCTGCACAAAATGGGGGTTCAAATGAGCACCTCCGACGACTTCTGGAACGTTGCTGGATCATTTCAGTCGTGGAACTTCCCATAAATGCCATAGTACAACGAACAGCATCTAAAATCGAGTGTGTTCTATCCGGCGGTGGCACTGCCAGCACGTCGGGCTCACATCGTCAGCTATTGTCAATGACAGCTTAAAGGGGCAGTGAAACAATATCCAGTTGGAATGTTATTGTACACAAGCTTGCCGGCACTGATGGTGCCCAAGTACACCCGCACGCAAAGCCAGTAATCAAGGAACTTCTTCGCTGCGGCATGATTTCAAAAATAAAAGTGAGCGTTTTCTTTTGATCTCCCCTTTGCAAAACTTGACGACGTAACTCGGAGGTCACAGCATCGGCACAGTCCCCCAAAGGCGGTGCTTGAATGCGGCTAGTAGATCCAGGATCCGAGCGTTGCACGAGTGCTCGATTTGGGCTCGCGATAACCAATAGCTCGGCAGCGTTCGGGAAATGGCTTTTGTCCAAACGCCACAACGACGACAATAGCCGAACCCTGACAACGTCTGGAACTCGGCGTGTGTTCCGTGTTTTGTCAATCCCGGCGCGTGGCTGCGATAACCAGTGGTGGCATCTGGTCGGCTCCAGGCCACAAGGCTGCTTGCTTTGGCTCCAAACTAAGAAGGTAGATGCTGCTCATTTTTTTTCTGAGGCTTTAATTGGTTTGAAAGAAAAATCTGATGTTGCAGCCAATGAGATGGCCGTATCAGCTGATAAGAGTGCTGAAGAAATTGAGAAGCAAGAAGTGTGAACATAAGAGGTCGTACCCCCGCATTTCCTAAGCTGTCAGTGAGTAAAGCACCAAGTTTTGGATGAAAATCACACGTCATCGGCTTGGTGCTTCGAAAATATGCCGAAAAGTGTCGAGGTTTCTTTGTTGGTGACTCGGCAAACGTAAGGCGGACCCACCGTAAATACGGCGCACGAGCGGAGATGCTTTTTCTTGTGTAACTCTGGAGGACGAAGATTTTAAACGTGTTTTGACACCCACAGTATCGCTAAGGAAACGTCTAATTAATTAACAAAACGAGCAAGTTCTTTTTTAAGCGTAACAAAGCAAATGACAGCCCCATACATTTTAAGAATAGCTTGTCACCCGAAAGCAGAAAGAACGGTGGCCGATAATGACGATTACGTGCACCCCCTAACTATGGCACCCGAACCCGTATTTGACTGGTGCCTTTAGGTCCTACACCGCCCTAGCATCCAAACCGGTCCCGAGGTGGCAACAAGTTACGTTGTGGAAACTGGCCTCTCGTGCTGTCCGACGCTGTGATTCTGGCAGTTGGTCGTGGAAGTTTTGGGAAAAAAAAGACGAGCGAAGCGAGCTCTTTTGTGGACTGTCGTGCCGAAGAGCACAATCGTGCCGAAGAGCACAATCGTGCCGAAGAGCCGAAGAGCAACTAAAAGTTTTCGGGAAGCCTGGATGCTTATATGTGTATGCGCTGCCCCGCACATTTAGTTGTCTTATGCAAGCATTGCATTTAGGCGACGTTTGATCGGATTGCTACTAATTCGAAAATAAATAGGAAGTATGTTCACCTGATTGCCTTAGGGCTTTTCGATAAACCGTTCAACCAGTTCAACGCTTGCTTCATAAGTTGCGACAAATATTGAGTAATACAGGCAGTACTGTCAATACGACAGGACTGAGAAGGAAGGAGTATATTCACGGACCACGGTATTAGAGAAATGGGCAACACTAGTAAAATTTGTAGCACATTTCGCGATTCTGTTTAGATTAATTTATGAAAACTTAGTTTGAAACTGCAAAATGTTATCTCCGTCCATGAAATTCAGATTTCGAACTTAAGATTGAAACTGTCAAACCTTTCTAACTTGCACCCTGAAAAACTTCGAAAGGTTAAAATTTTTCCAACTTGAACCCTAAATAAACTTGAAATGTATGAATTTTTCAAATGATTTGTCAAAAATTTCAAAATCTTCGACCTCAAACTTTTTAAAACCACGACATTTTCGAATTATTCAAATTCAAATATCATTAGGGTCCTAAAGTTGCAAACCTTTCTATTTTGAACCTTAGTGATGTTCAAAATTTTCGAACCTTGTGAACTAGAAGTTCGGGAGGTCTGCGTTATCCCTACTTAGAGCCCATAGATGGAGTTATGGCCATAAATAGACTATCACAGAAAGTGGTTTAATGCCCCTTTAGGAATGCGGACTGCTGTAGGACGTGGACTGCAGCAACGTACCTTCTATCCCTCCCGATGACGTCCAGGTAGCCCAAGGGTCCACACTTGGCCCCGTTGAAGGGGCCGTGGGTCACCTGAAGCGTGTAAGCCACTAAGCTCAGCTTGTCCTCGTAGGAAATGTGAAAAGCTTTACCCTCGTGTTCTGCAAGAGGAGAAGAGGAGAAGAGGAGAGAGTCACTGCAGGCTTCGAAGGACTCTCCAGCGACACCTGTTAAAGGGGAACTGCACTAATTTTTTTTTTACAATCTTCATTTGGCTGGAAATGGACAGACTGTATTGATCACCCTTCCTCAACTGCTAGCCGTTGAGGTGAGCCATGTAAAGGTGTTTGTGCACGAGCCATGAGCCGAGAGTACTAATTTCACTGTACTTTACTGCTGCATGCTGAGAGTTGAGCACCGATCTGCAGTTGAAACAGCTTCAAGATTGGCAATCGCCAACTCAAGCCGGCTCTGCATCTCTACGACCTTCATCCGCGCCAATAAAATCAGGAAAAATAGTGCATATTCTAGCACTGGTCGACATTTCATGCATTCACATCTGTTGTTCACTATGGCTTCGGTGAATCTATCAGCTTTAGACAGTGGAAGCCCTCGCAGCCAGCTCGGGCTGCTCTCGGCATTACAATCACGCGGCCGATCTGTTGACAGCGAGTAGTGAATCCTCTAAACGAAGTTCAAGTTTGAGTTTAGGCATGCTTTTTGACACACTGCTGTTTGTGTCCGATATTACAGAGTTTTAGGAAGCAGGTGTTGGGCTCGGACATGCGATACAGCAGTGGCCTGGTATGTTCGTTAAATTGTTGGCATGCACTTTTTTCCAACAAAAGAGGTGAACACGTTTTTATTTTATCCTATCTCAGAAAAATGTTAAATAGGGTCTAAAATTAGTTGAGCTATTAAAAATATCAATGTTGTTGAGGGGAGGCATGTAAATTCATCGCTGATCCAGGCTGCACAGAACCAAAAAATAGTTTTAAAAAAATCCTATAAAGAAAAATTATTTTTCTTTAACTGCACTCGTCAATGAGTGGTTGAACGCACTGCATTATTACTTCGACAGTGAACAAACAAAAATATAATGTATATAAATTTTTGTTTTGGTTTTTATTGATTTATTTGAATTTTCAGTATTATGTTAGAATTTTATACTTTACTCACTATTGCATCTTCAAGCAACTATCCTTTCTTCAAAGATTGATAGTTTATTTGTGTATTTCATACGCCTATCACTGCACCTGGGTGATGTTTGGCTTGGTGGTTGCAGAGTTCTTTTAATTTTCACTTGAGCACAAACTTTACTCGCCACCTGGCACACACGAATGTGGTTCATTCCAGTCTACACACCATTTCAATGTTTACCGAAATCACATGTGGATCACAATCCAGCACGTGCATGTTCGCCGTTTCGGAAGGCGAACAAAGTATATGCCACACGCACAAATGCTGAAAATGGCACTGACCAGAAGAACTTCTCTGGAATGGTCTAGAGGCATTTTGCTGAGTTACCCAAGCACTAAGGAGCATATGCATGCCACAAATGTAGTTAGCGCTACATGTGCTGGCGTCCGCAGCAGTAATGTTTCTAAGGCAAATCTAAAACAAGTGGCACACGCATTCAGCTAAGACGAGCATGTGCAGCACCTGTAATCATATTCCGACTATTCTCCATGGAACTTGGGTAATAAGTAAAAAAATGCATTGCGAGACTCTTCGACCTTTTTTTGCCAGCATAACTGCTTGCTTGTGATAAAAGAGAAAAGTATTGATGTCAGTGATTTCACTAAACTAGTGAGCAGCGCTTTGAGCTTACCCAGTTACAAAAACGGTTTTCTCAAAATCACATCACTTTTTCATAGTTCAGCACGTAGGCAAAGATCATACTTTGTGCAAACAGAGATTGTTATTAACATCAGCTAGCATAAACAACCAAGTATGCTTGCTGTTAGGAGCGAGCAAGATGGGAGTGAGCATATCTGATTGCCGGCCGTGTGCCTTGCTTCCTGTTGGTGACATCATGTTTGGGTGATGCGAAAAACTGGGGAAAACTAGAGAGAACGAAGTTTTGGTTTCGGTAGCAAACAAAATATTACTTCTTTAATTAACTAGATTTAATCTGGGGGAACGAGACAGCATTTCAAAATCAGGAAGCAACTAACATTCAGCTGATGCCTTTGGATTAGGTGGCTCAAAAAATCAGTGGAGCTCCTCTTTAATGGTTAAAAAAGTTAACAGAAAGCAACGAAGAGGATGTTTATCCACACAACATTACCAGCACTCCCAATTTGTCAAATCTGTTGATGACAATTCACTGGCAATCTTAGATGAGTTTGATGCCGCCGAGCGCGCACCAACGGCAAGCTTCCACGGACCTTCTGCAAAAGGCATTCCACACTCTCAATAATAATGTTTTTAGCACACGATAAGTGTGGCCTCATTGCCAGCATGCGCTGCGAACAATCCACTCAAATAGGGCATTTGTTGAACACCCCACCCCAAATGACCAACAGATGACGCAAATGAAACCTGGAAACGTGACATCCGTTTTGTTCAAGTATGACCTCGTTTTGACAGGCTATAGGTGGTTTTCAGTGGCCATAAGCAAAGTGTTGTGTTGCTCGGTGCGTGCTCAGAGCATGCATTCACCCATCATCATGCAACAATGACAATCAAAGCTTGCTATACTCCATCTCATCGTAACTTGGCAAACGGCAAAGACTACTGTCCCAGACAGGCAATCAGCACGACGGAGGGAGACATGTGTCTATATCTCAGTAGTTGCTTGTAATGCTGTCAAAGCTACGAGCGGGAGAGAAAAAAGCCGCCTTTGTATTAATTTTGAGTGACATGTCTAATCTCCAAGGGGGACAAAAGCGACATCTGGGACGCACGAAAAAGGGTCCTGGTAAGAGAAGGGACTCCCCTCTTAAGGTAAAAGGGGAAGAAGGGACTCCCCTCTTAAGGTAAGAGGGGAAGAAGGGACTCCCGTTTTTCGTGCGTCCTGGAAGAGGGGAAAGAGGGGAGCCTCCTTCCCCTCTTCTTCAACTGCTTGGGACACGCTCTCGCCTCCGTATCTTTGGTAAGGGCCATCACATGCCTCGCCTCCTTCGCCCCGATTGGCTGGAAGGGGTGAGCATTCATTCTTTCCAAATTGCGGAGACACAAAGTATAGCAGTGCCTGCCTGACACAGCAGCGGCAGCCAGGCAGTACACAGATACTGTATGGCAGGCCATACTTATTGCACACCATATAGACAGCTGAACTTCCTGCGGGTGCAACAGCGACGCACGTGCTCCGGTGAACACTCAACACACTTTTCCCGACATCCTATTTCGAACTCGAGAGCGCACAGATTGCTGTTCGTTCGCACCACACAAGTGACTTTAGTAGGGCAACTCAAAGCCGAACACAGCTGTGGTTTGCGTAAAGAACGCGCTTTGACGAACCTGGCCCGTCCGAGCGCTAAGTAAACAACGGTATCCCAAGCCTGGGTTCCTCTCACCCACGCCTACGGCGCAAAAACGCTGGCAATTCGTCGTCAGCACTCTCCAAGCGATAGCTGTCCCTGGTTAAGATCTGCGCGCAGCGCTTGGAACGCAGCGCTCGGTCCTTGCCACGCAAGCCACGGCATAAGGTTTCAACGTGCTCGGTTGGCTCTAGAGCTGGTACTAGGGTCGCGACCCAGGTCAAGCGACCCGCCAGGAGCGTTGCCGGACAGGCGTTTGGACACAGAGAGGACCCGCGAGCGCCGGACACAGCGGAACCACGGCTGGGCAGCCAGCCACCGGACCTCGTCAGGAACGGAAGCGCCGCTCGCTCACCTTTAAAAAACGCCGTCGCCATCCTGTAGAGCGCGTCCAGCGCGAATCCCCAGGAGTGTGTGTGAATGTCGGTGAGGTGCGCGTCCGGGTTTGGTGGAAGCCCCTTCGGATCGGACCCTGTTTCGGTCGGGACCGGCCCACTCGTGGAGTCCGCCATCACTTGCAACGCTGGCATCGGGCAGCGGCAGCGACACTGGCGGCTCGCGCGTCAACCCCTCACAAACCGAAACTGTTGAGCGTGCGGTGGATAAGCATCGTACCGGTGTAGGACGCCGATCTCACTACCCCTCCGCTCCGACTACGGTAGTGGTTTTGGCGTACGCCAAAATCAATACCGTAGTCATTTCGGCGTACGCCATAGTCAATACCGTAGTCTTTTTCGCATACCCCAAACACACTACCCTTACGCCAAATTCAATACCTTGAATATCGTCGGTTCAGCAGGGTTTGAGCTCCGCATTCCGCTAAAACTGGCGGAAGTAACTTTCTGCAGCATAACACCCTGATTGTTTGTTGTTGTTTGTATGAGCGGCGGAACGCGCGCGGCAGGCGTTAATGCGCTGATACGGCTGACGGCGCGCAGAGCTGAAGGGCACAAGCAAGGAAGCTTGGAGTGATTCTGTGTCGATGTGATTTGACATCGCTTCTTTCTGGTTCTTCGATCATGGTGCAAATGCAGGTGCCCGACTCCCGAGCGATTCGAAGGCAAGAGTGGTAGCCTGTCCGCTGGTCTTTCAATCGCATGCACTGTCGTCATTTTGGGCACAGCGGAAGAAAATAAGACGTTCACTATTTTAAATAGCGTGCGATCGGCCTGTCTAGGTTCTGGCGACACCGTTTCAGGCTGTAGATGAGAAAATTTAGCCACTACAGTACGACTGCTAGCCTGGGGTCTGTGCCTCACAACAGATCGAAACGGGTAGGGGTGGGGATCCCTGGCAGCGGGACCTTTCGCCGTACGAGCTGCGGTGCGCTAACACACTCGATTTCCGATACCCCCTTGGGTCACAGCGCTTGCTGAAAGAAGTTTGGATCGTTTTACGCAGATTTTGCAGTGCGTACGAGGCGCGCAACAGCTACGTACTACGTCCTAGATGCCCAAACTGAGGCTCGCTACTTGTGCGCGGCTGTCGTGATCTGCAGCTGGGAACAGTATGCTCGCCATGAAAACGTTGCAGTGAGAAGTACGGAAAAGTAATACTATAAAAGTATAGTATATAAAACTGGCTTACATTGTCACTGAACATATGGAAATAAAACTGATTAGGAATGCCGATCAGATGGGTGGGAATGTTATATAATGTGCTCAAGTTATGTGTGGCATCACGTCGGCACAGGAATTCAAACTGGTTGCCCCCACCCCCGCTCCTAAATTCTTCCAATGCTGCTGGCAGCTTTTTTATATATATATATATTTATTGTAACTTTAAAGGCCCCAACAGGAGCATTACATAAGGAGTGTGTGTGTGTGTGTGTGTGGGGGGGGGGGGGGGGGAAGTACTTGAAAAATACAAAAGATCAACATATGAACAGACAGGTGGCTGATACCTACAGGGCTGGTGAGTAATATAAACAGTGAGAACAAGTGTGTGTGAAATAAAACTGGTACATAAATACACTTGCTAAAAGAGTAATCGAAGCATTGCGGAACAAGACGGGGTTACCTATTGCCGGGCAAAACCAGGGTAATCACCGACTCACACCAAGCATACCGGAGCTTCCAGTCGGGCTCGGTGCCCTGAAAAGCGCTGCAGGTGCTCAAAAACAAAAGACCCCCAAAGGAGCCCATAGAATTTAAATGGGTACCTGCCCACTCCGTGGTAGAGGGCAACAAACTTGCTCACCAGCAGGCCTGCGCGCTGACTCACCGGGCCACAGCCATGGAAGAGGTGCAGGACCAACCCATGGTGACCTAAAAGGAAATACTAGTCGCACTCTACTGCAAGACCCTAGATGACGCGTTGCTGACACATGAGGAAGTTCTTCACCCAGGGATGAGCAGGCACAAAGAACCGTCGGTGAACCTGGATCTGAAAAAAGATGCAGCACTGCGTTTTTTGAAGGCTAGCCCTGTTCCGTTTGCAATGTGTACCGCAGTGGAGGCAGAACTCCGGATGCTCCAAAGCTAAGGCATAATCGAGCCAACACAACACTAAACGCTGTTGAAAAACTGGCGGTAAATCTGATGTGGGCTGTAACAAATTTTGTGGTGAGCGTGCTTGGAGGCACTATTTTTTCAACAGTGGACCTCACTAATAATAATAATAATAATAATTTTTATTTGCACGAGAAAGTTTGCCCACTCAGCGGCGTGCGAGGCTAGGCAGAAAGGTTAATACCCTTACGCATATGCGCCTGCTAGCCCGCCGCTGAGTAGGTATAAACATAAACAAACTGTAGTCGTAAGTACAAGATAACACATATACACGTATGGAAACAATGAATAATCAGAGGGGAAGATAAGAAAACTCGCTGTGCCCCAACCCACCCCCACGCAGACCACGGCAGAGGCCCCAGCCACAAGGCATTCCACTAGCTGTGTGTGACAGTGGAGACAGCAGATATGCTCACCATAAACACCATCAAAGGACGACACAGAGTGAAAAGGATGCTCTTAAAAATTTTGGCTGCCGCGGCAATTTTTCAGCTCTGCAAGGAGACGGTCCTAGCAGGAAAACCCATCATGGAATTCTACCTGGGTAATGTTGTTGTGACGATCTGGATCGGTCATCAAGATAAATGGGCACCGTGCTCAGGAAAGACATGTCAACGTCATCAACTACCATGCCAAAACTACTTTTATTTCGATCATGAGCGCTCGCACGAGCCGCTTCAGAGCGATGTCTCTTGCAGCTCGTCACGTGCCAAGGGTTTTAAGTGTCGACCTGATATCACGCTGCCATGCAACAAACATTAAACAAATACTGCATTGAGCAATATGCACATGATTAAATAATGATATACATACGACGTGATAAATGAGAAAAAAAACTTATCAAGTTTACAAAATTCAGTCCCCAGGTAGAGGCTGCACAAATTTGATGACCGGCTTCAGTTTCTCCACATGCACTACATTGCGGCCAGTACCGTCCACGAGTTCAAGCTCGTAGTTCACGGGAGAGAGCCGGCTCACGATTTGGCGAGGGCCAGTAAATCATAGTGTTGCCTTGACTCTCATGAGTGGGCTCTCCTACAACTCGAGCTAGTCCTTAAAAAGAAGCACCAGAGGTGATGTAACAAACTACTAATGACACCTTCCAGGCGGTAGGGGCATCAGGTTTTCACTTTTCTCCGTCAACAATGCAACAGACTCAAAGTGCCGTTGCCATTCCAGAAATTCTTGGGTCAGCTCTTGCCGGCATCACGTGACAAAGTGGCCGCGTCTCTTACAAATGAGACGGAGCGGACGAACTTCAGCGTGTTGGGACGAAGAACATTGAAAGTCCCGCGAAGTTTTTGAAACATGCTGAAGCGACACATGCTGCTTCTTTTGCTTCCCTGTTGCAGAAGGGTGCTGGTGACGATTGCTGTCGTCAGCGTTCCGATGAGGCGGTGGCCGGCCCTGCTTCAAGAGCAGGAAGGAGTGCGCTTTCTTTGTCCCTGCGCAGCTTGCACTCGCTCTGCAACGAGAGCCAAAACCGGTGTCTTTGGTTGGCTGAAGACAACCTGGTCAAAGCAAAGGAAAGAGTCCAGCAACTCATTCAACGAAGCGAAGCGCCTGTCGAAGCATGCTTTCGTGCTTTGTGGAAGAGTGTGGCCAGGATAACCTTGCATTTCTCCGCCTTCGTCTCTGGGTAGCTGCACTCATGGATGAGCTCCAGTAAATGGAAGGCGGAGTCGGTGCAGGACTCTCCCGAGTGCTGACTTGTGCTGAACATCTTTTGTTTTGCCTCAGCTTCGTTGTCCAGGTTGTAACGACGACGGAAAGCTTTCTTCATTTGCTCCTACATTGTTAGCTTGGCCGTCTTGAGGTGGTACATAATCTACATGGAGTCCTTAGATGGTAGCTTGGATACAATCAATGGGATGGCCTCACCTGGTGCAACTTTAAACGTCTGGAACCTGAAATTTATCTGGTGAAACCAGGCGATGATGTCCGTGCGCAGCTGAGAAACCGAGCTGACAGTCACGTTGGTCAGCGACTGCAGTGTCTGCGGCTGACTCAGCTTGAACAGGAACTCTCTTCCTAGGTGCTTTGGACCTTTTTTTCTTTGCGGACTCTTGGAACAGTGTTTGTCAGAGTCCATGCTGCACGAAAACTCCGAGGACGAGGTTTTCGGCATCCTTGCCTCGAGCTGATCAAGACGATCCATGATGCTGACAGGTGCCAGCAGGCAAATTCAGTGTTGCCTGTAGCCGAGCGTTGAAGAATCTGAACGCAGACATTTTGAGCAGACTGCCTTTCCTGCAGGCAAGGATGAGCCCAACCCTCCCACAATTCTGCTCATGTTGCAAGCGTTGACAGGGGCGCTATAGTCTGTTGCAGGTCAAGAATAGCATGAGAGTGGAGAAGACGAAACCACCTCTACTTGTCATGATAGGTGGTTTGCTTCTCTCCAGTGTTCGCTCTGCCAATGTCGAGAGAGAGGGACAGAGACTTCTCCTGCTATTCTTGACCTGCAGGAGACTCTAATTATGTTCCAGAAGCTGGCAGAAAAGACCACATAGAATTTCACCCTTTCGCACGTGTCTGAAGCAGTTCAGAGTAGAAATGTTGGAGGCCCCAGAGAGGATATTTTTGACCTATTCAAGGGTTTTGTTACGCTGCTGCTGCCGCTATTCATTCTGAGAACTGCAGTCCCCTGCACACGCGATAACCGTGCTGTGGGCCTGTGCGTGCAGTACACGAAACGACACCACCTGTCTTGTGCACAGCCGTCTGTCTCCTGTGAGCAGTTATGACGTCACCAAGCATGTGCACAATAGCTGGTGAGATCAGTGTGTTGGTGACATGATGTTGTTTAATGCAGGGATCATGTGTTGTGATACCAATGGATCCACGGTCTGGGTCGCTGACTCTGGTGCACTCCGTATACCTCAGAATCATCGCCATGAAAGCCTGTGCCAGGAATTGGGAAAAATAGCATATATGGGTGTAGCACAATATGGTCCCAGACAATATGGTCCCAGACAAAATGGTCCCAGACAAAATGGTCCCGGGCGAAATAGTCCCGGA